TCATCCGTGCGCTCCAAGAGTCCTTCCTCTGGCCCTCAGAGGCTTGTGCTCTACTGGTTGGACCTACCTGTGGCCATTTTGATATTTATGCCCACTGGAATGTGTCTCTCCCACGGGTCCCCAAACCCCCAGTTAAACCGCCCACTCCTCCCAAACCGGGTTCTCCACAGAGCAGAATCCTCTTCCTCACGGATATCCACTGGGATGCGCAGTACGCTGAGGGCAGTCTTGTGGACTGTAAGATGCCACTGTGCTGTCGGAATGACTCTGGAAGGGCCAATTGGAAGCACACTGGAGCCGGATACTGGGGCACGTATGGCGAGTGTGACCTGCCTCTGCGCACAGTAGAGAACCTTCTCCAAAACGTAGCCAAATCTGGCCCGTGGGATTGGGTGTACTGGACAGGAGACATTCCAGCACACAACGTCTGGTCTCAGACCCGGGCACAGCAGCTGAACGAGCTTGTCACCATCACTAGACTCATACACAAACACCTGGGGCCTAATGTAACCGTTTACCCAGCGGTTGGAAATCACGAGAGCACACCGGTGAATAGTTTCCCACCTCCGTTTGTGCATGGCAATCGGTCGTCCCACTGGCTTTATGACACAATGGCAGAGGAGTGGGCATCCTGGCTGCCAGAGGGAGCCTTGGAGACGATACGGTAAAGTACTGATGGAAAAGACTTTATAAAGACTATATTATTTTTCTTAATGTTATTTATTATTATTATTTGTTTTGTTATTTAATCATGTGGCTGTTTGATATGTATGCCCCTGGAATGTATCTTATTTAATAATAAAAATAATAAATGTATTTATTTTATTCCTATACATAATCATGTGGCCATTTTTTATATTTTGACCCCTTGGAATGCATCTTATTACATTATTATTATTACCATTTAATTATTTTTTATTATTTTTATTTGTAATATAATATAATGTGGCTATTTAGATATTTATGTCCCCTTTAACACATCTTATTTTATTATTATTATTATTATTATTGTGGTTATTTGTTTACTATTTTATTATTACTACTATCATTATTATTAACACTTTTATTTATTTATTTATTTATATGTGTTTTGTCTTCTCTAGGCATGGAGGGTTTTACACAGTGGAAGTTCAGCGTGGTTTGAGGGTGGTGTCTTTGAACATGAACTTCTGTGCACGAGAGAATTACTGGCTGATGGTGAACTCCACAGACCCGGCGGATCAGCTACAGTGGCTCATTCGCATACTACAAGAGTCCGAGAACAAGGGAGAGAAGGTACAAGAAATTTACAGAAAGAAACCAGAAAACATCTTATTTTGCATTAAGAACACAGGAAACCAAAAAGATGTTGAAGCCGTTTGCTTGCTGCAGCAATTTAACAAGTTGCAGAGTTAGTGTTTGTGGGTTAGGGGGTGTTTAAACATCCAGGCAACTGATCTCGAGTCAGACCAGCTTGAAGCGGATGTGTGACCGTTGGTTTTTGTGCAGTGTTTTCGATTATGCTGTTGCACATATGTTTGTATTTGGGCATTTGATATTAGATGCCAATGATCCTTCTACTACTAAATGTTACTCAAATTATTTTGTAAGAGGGACCCCAACTTTTTTTGTTTTTTTCCTTTTCAAAACAAAAACAAAAATCTTGGTTTATCTTGAATATCTTAAATTTTAGTTTGCGCTTTTTTTTTTTCTTTTTTTTTTTCTTTTTTGTGGGGTGGGTAGTTTAGTTTTGTTTAATAACCAGATCTAAGCAAAGCTCTGTCTGTCTCCACTGGTCTCTCTCAGGTCCACATCATCGGTCACATCCCCCCGGGACTCTGCCTGAGCAGCTGGAGTTGGAATTACTATCATATAGTGAACAGGTCAGTCACTTTCCTGTGAACACATAGGATGGCCCGTCCTGCTGTACACAAGAGTTCACTTTCATCTGTTGTAACCTGTGGCTGAATCAGCACAGCTGCGTGACTGCAGCTTAAAGGGTTATAACAGTGTCTTTTATGATCACAAGTTTCATAGTGTTGTAAAAATGGGTCATGTTGACTCTAACTGCCTGGTTTTGAGATAATTGTATTTATTTGCCATATGTACCCGGAGGTGTATGTAATGCAGTGGTTAATGGTTCACTTTAGCAATCAGTCTGGTTCCTTCCTCTATAATTCTCTTTTATATTCCAGATATGAAAGCACCATAACTGGTCAGTTTTTCGGACACACACATGTCGATGAGTTTCAGATGTTCTATGATGAAGATACATTGACACGTCCACTAAGTGTGGCTTTCATTGCCCCAAGTGTGACCACTTACGTCAACCTGAACCCAGGTACTCACTAAACCATATTAGTTGATGTATATTTTATTTTATTTTTTTCCATTTTTTTCATTGTAAAATCAATTATTTTGATTTAGTTTTTATTTTACTACTTTTTATTTTTTTTTTATTTAGAGGAAAGTAATACTAATTAATCAAGTGACAAAGTTATTATAAAAAAGTTTTAAAAATACTGTTCTTTTGAACTTTTCTATTCGTAAAATAATCATTAATTGTATAGTGCTTTCTACACATTTTTTTTTAATCAGTTTATTTTATTACGGAGTTTATTTTTTACGTTTGCATATTGTTATTTTTAGTTTTTTTTTAATTATTTTAGCATTGCTTTATTTTATGTAGTTTTTACATTTCATTTTAGCATTTAATTATATTTATTTTTTTAGCATATAGTTATTTTTATTTTAGCATTTAGTTAGTCCCACAAAATGGTGGCTTATTGCTGTAATATGCTTTTATTGTCAGGATATCGCGTGTATTATATGGATGGAAACTACCCAGGCAGCAGTTGGATGGTTTTGGATCATGAGACTTTTATTCTTAACCTGACTCTTGCCAACAACCTGCCCTCAAAACCTGACCCCAACCCATCATGGACCTTACTGTACCGCGCGTCTAAGGCCTACGGTTTGTCCACACTCTTCCCTTCAGACATGGACGCTTTGATCAAAGTCATGAAGAATGATGACCGTGTCTTCCAGCGTTTCTGGTACCTCTTTCATAAAGGCCACGTCTCAAAGCCCTGCACAGACACTTGCAAGACGTCACTAATCTGCTTCCTGCACAGTGGACGATACGACCTTCTAACGCATTGTGAAGTGCTACACGGAGATAAACACTCCGTTAGGAAGACGATGTGTTGAGAAAATATGCCATTGAGGTCTAATGGGTTTAATACCACGCCGACGTCACAGACTCTTGATTCATTTAGCACTTTCATTTGAACTTCTTTTTGTAGCATTTGTTACATTTGTCCTTGAGATCATCAAAAGCTGACTTGCTATGGACAACGTTGGTATTAAAAGCCTTAAGGCATCTTGTCAAGATGTGGTTAAAAACTCAGCAGTGCTTGTGAAGATGTGTAATTTAGAGCAGAGAACCAAAGTAAAGTATAACTGGTTGAAAGTGGAACATGTAGTGACTTCACTGAATCATGTGGTGTGTTAGTGCCTCATAAAAACCACAGCTGCTCAAATGTCTCAGTCCTCATTCTCAGTTATGTTGTTGGGTGTGTTTTGCGTCACTCTCGAGTGAATTGTGTTCTGTCACTTTAGAAGTGTTTTGTGTTATCATTTCCTGCATTGACCTGTAGTTTGCACACTGGAGTCTGTTGAAGGCCAGTTATAAAAGATAATGGTTTATTATCGTTGAACAATTGATTTAATTGGTAAATTTAATTGGTAAAGATCATGTGATTTTTATTTTGTCACACTTTCTGAAAATGGGTTTGCAATTATAGTGGGATTTTATGAATGTTGAATGGATTGTCTGAAGGTCTTTATTAAATAAATAAATATTTTGCAAGGTGATTTGTTTGTAGATTTAAGTCATGTACAGTACTGTTCAAATGTTTGTGATTGATATATTTTTGTTGAAAAAGCTATTTTTAGCAGCTATGCATTAAATGAATCAAAAGTGACTATCACAAATTTGTTAAAAATAAATGCTGTTCCTTTAAACGTTCAATACATATAATTTTCAAAAAATGTATTGCCGTTTCCACAAAACTACAGTCAGTTTGAAAATGAGAAATGATTAGGTACCAAATCATATCAGAATGATTTCTGAAGGCTCATGTGACTCAAAAGATTGGTGTAATGATGCTGAAAATTCAGCTTTGCGTCGCAGGAATAAATTACATTTTAAAATATATTCAAATATAAAAGTTTTGTAGTTATTTAATATTGCCATTTTTACTGTATTTTTATCAAATAAATACAGCATTTGTGAGCATGATATATCTATTGAAAATATTTAAAAATACATATCTACATTTTTAAATGTGTATTTAAATGATTCTCATTATTTCGTATTAATTAAACCCAACTACAATAAGTGGTTTAAGATATGACATTCAAATTCTAGCTACAGTCTGTTGAAACTGTAAAATGGGCAAGTCTCATGACTGCTGTTACCCAGTTTTTTCGAATATAAATATTCTAAATCGTTCAATACTTAAAACGTGTAAAATGTGACGCAGTGCAGGACAGAACCACTAGGAGTCATCATAGATCATACCTGATGACAGCATGTACTCAGGAAATATTCAAACACATATTTTCCATGTGAGCAGGTGTTTGCTATGTACATACTTTCGTTCTGTATAATTTCCTTCACAGAATCATTTTAACTGCTGCCAAAGATAAATAGAAGCACAGTACAACAACCAAAAACTAAAGTACTGAAAATTTCCAATACATTTTTTCACATAAAAAGACAACCAAGGAAATACAATGTAATGAAAACATTTTTACAAAAAAAAAAACACATTCAGATCTTCTATATCTGTAGGTTTATCTGGAGTGTTTTGCAGCTCATCATAAGTATGTCTCAAGAGACACATCTACTTATAAGAAAGGACTAAAATGGTAAACATCATCCACTGTCAGAAAATGTTCTCCTCAAGGGTCTGTGAAAGACAACGTCACTCCAAAGTCTTCCTTGTATATGTCCCAGGTCTTAGATTTGTGTGGATTGTCCAGCTCCTCCCTCGAAAGATACAGTCTATGACACAAACAACAACACAAAGATTTCAGCTCTCCAAAGAAAAAAAAAACTTCCAAAACTACTGACAAAAAAATCCCACCTGTTGTTCTCAACAAAAGAGGTGTTAAACCAGAAATAGAAAGGACAGTCCTCGTAACCCTTTGGCAAACCCTGGACAGAGAGAAAAAAAGGGAGTTCAAGCAACAGTGAACCTCATTTAAACGTTCTGCTGACAACACTTCATCAAATATATGAATCAATTAAATACTAATAGTGGAGACTTACAGCACTGGACTCAAACATGACCTTCACATCTTCAGTCACAACAGGCCCTTCCTGTAAACTGATGATCACGGCATTGTTACCAGTGTCAGGAAACACCTGGAGAAAAAAAAAACACGACAGGACGTTCAGGAATGTAGCTATATAGTATTGTGCTTAGATAAGTGTTTAGTACGCTTAAAGTTGCTTGCTTTGCCCTTTTTATATAGAACATAGAGAAACGTGCTAAACCTGACAACCATGACTAGCTTTAGATACTTACCACACAGTTCTGCTGTTTGGCACAAACACACTGGAAGACAAGCTCTCGCTTCACTATGATCTTCACCTTCAGGTCGCTCCCGTTACCCTTCCCTACACCTGAACAACAACCACAGCCATGGGAAAAGTACACTGCTTCTATACAATCTACCATAGTTGTGCCTTTGTTTACTTAAAGTGACATTTTATGCCTAAATATTAAGTTGTATGAAAATACATTTTAATATTGAATATATAATTCAATATGAATATTTGCAATATATTATTTCACATTCAATGTGTTTAAATATAAAAAATATGTCATATTCAATATATATATATATATATATATATATATATATATGTGTATGTATGTATGTGTATATATATATATATATATATGTGTATGTATGTATGT